TGCATATTTCCTTACGATTTATTGAGGAAAATGGAAAAAGTGTTGTCTTATTGGAAAGATTGTTATATTTCTATATTTTAAGTATTTTAAATGAAACATTAAAAATCTGCTTTTTTGAATTTTCCTTGAAATATAGGATTGCTGTTATAGAAATGTAATTAATGTCTTGGATTTATATTAAATTTTTTATTTCTAGTGATACTACTAAATTCTGTTTCTGTAAGCATCGTTGCATAAAATTAAAAGAAATTCAGGATTTCTTTTGGTGACTAGTTTTAAAGTACATATGAAAAATTCTAAAAGTTATGTGAATCAAAGTGAAAGGTTGTTTAAATTTTATGAGTACATTCTAAAGATGGAAAAATTAAATAAGATGGTGTAAGAGAAGGTTTTTCAAACAGCTTATTAATTAAAAATATTTTCATGCTGGCATGGTGAGTTTGAGGCCAGCCTGGTCTCTGTATCGAGTTCAGGTCAGCTACAGGGAGACCCAGTCTCAAAAACCCAAAACCAAAAACAAAAAAAAGGAAAAAAACCCCCCAGTTTTTACATAGAAATAATCATACATATTTATTAGTTTGGAGCTACTTAATGTGGTGAGCACACCAATCGTGGGATACTGTGATTGGTTTGAGTATTTTAATAAGGAATATTAGCACTATTTCAGAAGAAATCACATTGCATGATTATATTAGTTACTTTCTGTTGTTGTGATAAACACCATGATCAGAAGCGACTTAAGGAAAAGAGTTTACTTTGGCTTCTGGCTCCTTGGTCTAGAGTCCATAACAGTGGGAGGCATGGTATGGCAGCAGGAGCAGAAATTGGCTGGCTATATTTTTATTCACACACAGGAAGGGGAAGGGGGAAAGGGAAGGGAGGGAGGGGAGGGGGAGATAGAGATGGAGAAAGATGGGGGAAGGGAAAGAGGGGAAGAGATACGTGTACTTGGGGTCAGGCTTCAAACCCTCAAAACCTTCCCAGTGACATACTCTCTCCAGCAAGAATGCACTCCCTGAGGGTTGAAAACCTCCCTAAACAGCACTGAGTGTTAGAGCCACAGTGATAATAAACCATGTTACGTTTGGTTTCTGCATTTTTATAGCTGTAGAATTTTGATAAAATATCTAAAATCAGATGGAAAATGTTAATAGTTGCATCTTGGCACACTGCAGTGATCTGCTAGACTACATAAGATGTACTTGCCTGCTTTCCAGTGTTACCTTGCAATTTCCAGTTGTATGGCTTTTGTAACATATAATGTATAGAAAACAGAACTGTGTTAGGTGTGTAATGCTCTTAACATTTTTCTTTCAGATTATCTGCAATGGTGAAATGAAGTAACTCAAGATGAGCAAGTTAAAAGTGGTAGCAGAAAAAGGGTACGGTAACTTTCAGTTTGCTCTGTGTGAATTATAGAAGTAATGCATGGTGCAGTTATTGAAACTGATTAAAATATGTATGTTTAAGTAGAGGTATGTTACGCATATATTAATATTTTTGCATTAAAGAATCAGTTAATACAACCTACAGGCCAAGTCTGGGTTACTTCTAGTATGGCTAATCAGCTAAGAATGGTTTTCACATTTTTAAATAGTGAAAAACTGTAATATTTTGTGATACTTGAAATTATAGAAAATTCAAGATTCAGTGTATATAATTAAAGTTTTATTGGAACAGAGCCCTTCCTTTTAATTTATACATTGTCCTGGCAGCTTTTGCATTACATTTGCAAACTTGATTGTGACAGACTGCATGGCCCATAAGCCCTTGTTTATTGGCCTTTAAAAAAGAGTTTAATTGATCCCTGAGTTTTATGAAGCACTGTATGTCATTTTTATTGGTTTAATTTCTTCCCTTAAAAGTCAGACAAATTAAAAAAAAAGAAAAAGTCAGACAAATTTTACTGATTCTAGATTGAAATACTCTTAGCTATACCATCTCTAAACAGATTAATGAACTCTGTTATGCCCGTTTTCTCATCTGTAAAACTATTTTAATGTTAATGCCATTATAAAGCGCTGAAGACTTAAGTAATACCTAGCCAAGGAAGTAACTGGCAGCTTGCTGACTATCACTAATGATACCAGTTTCTGCTTTGCCAGCAGTACTGTAATTTGCTTTTATAGATTGTTATAAAATGGAAAATGTAGCATTTTAGGTAATTTATTTCTTAAATTGTTAGGTTTTCTAGTTATTAAACAAGGTTACACCATGGATCAGTTATTTTTCTGTTGCTGTGATAAAACGCCATGACAGAGGCAACTTACAGAGGAAGAGTATATTTGGCATACAGTTCCAGAGTGCAAGAGTCCATTGTGGGGGGAGGCATGGTGGCAGACGTAACTGGAGCAGAAAGCTGAACGCTCACCTCTTCAAAGAGGCACAGGAAGCCGTGAGACTGGAAATCTGACAAGACTTGAGAACTCTGAAAGCCTGCTCTAGTGATGTGCTTCCCTCCAGCACGTTCACACCTAAAGGTTCCATGACCCTACCCAAATAGTGCCAGGAACTAGGGATGCTTGGAGCCTGTTGGGGACACTCATTCAAACCAGCACACACCATAATAAATTGTATTATTTCACTACCTGTAGGCTCTATGGAAAGGGAATTAGTCTTTCTAAAAAACAATTTCTTTTCCCTCCCTCCCTCTGTCGCATCATTTGTGCACATATGTAATATGTGTGCCAACATATATGCCACATTGTGCACCAGGAGATCGGAGGGCAGCTTTGGGAGTCAGTTCTCTTCTTTTACATCGTCAGGCTTGTGTGACAAGTGCCTTTATCTGCTGAGCCATCTCTCTGGCCCCAATTCTTTTTTTTTTTTTTTTTTTTTTTGAGGCAGGTTCTCCCTGTAGCTCCAGCTAGTCTGGAATTTCCTACATAGACTAGGCTGGTCTTGATCTCACAGAGATCCACCTGCCTCTGCCTCTTGAGTGCTGGGATTTAAAGGCATGCACCGAATATGCCTGACTTCAACTTTTACTTTTTTGACCAGGTCAAATAAGTAACCTGTTTCCACCAATTAGTTAAATTATCTAATTTCTAGAAAACTCCTAAGAATGTGATTTCTGTCCTAGTTTGCTTTTCTTTTGCTGTTGATAATCATCACGACCTAAAGCAACTTGGATAGGAAAGGGTTTCTTTCACTTTACAGGTTACAGTCCATCATCAAGGGCAGTCAGGGCAGGAGCTCAAGGCAGGAACCTGGAAGCAGGAATTGTTGCAGAGACTGTGGAGGAATACTGCTTACTGACTTGCTTCCTTCACTTGCTCAGCTGCTTATTCAGTCTGGGTGCACCTACCCAGAGATGGTTCAGTACCCACAGTGGGCTGGGCCCTCCTACCTCAGTTAACAATCACAGGCCAGTCTGGTGGTGATAATTCCTCAGTTGAGCTTCCCTCTTTCCATATCTCTAGCTTGTGTCAAGTTGACAAAAACTAAGCACAAATGTGCAGTTATTTATAGTTTGAAAACCTTTGGTTCATAATGTCATTTTAATTTATTTTTGCCTCCTAAAATAAATTTAATAGATGTTTACTATTTTTGTTATAGTACAATTAATCACTGTAAGATTTTAGTAAATTAATAACTAAGATTTTCACTGTACATTAATTACTATACAATTTTTTTGTATATAATTTTAGTATATACATCTAAAATTGTAATTTCTAATAATATTTACTATATTAGTTAGCTTTTGCATTGCTATGAGCAAAACACCTGACAGATAAAGAGGGAGCATTTATTTTGGCTCATGGTTTTAGTGGGTTAAGGCCAGGATTGTTCACTCCATTCACTTGGGCAGATCATCATGATGGAACTGTGGTATAGGAGAGCTGACCATGCCATGGCTGACTAAGCAGAGAGTATAGCAGGAAGTAGCCAGAGATAATGTACCCCAAGAAATTACCTCAACTACTTACTTCCTCTAGCTGTTCCCCTGTCTTCTGTTTCTAAAACTTCCCCAAATTGCAACACTCCCTGGGAAATACAACATCCTATGGGGGACACATTATATATTCAAACCATAATATTTTTTCATATTCTGTGAAGCAAGCTGAATGCAATAAGGTAACCTGAAATAGAAAAGAGTCAGGATTTTTATTCCTTCTTACAGTTCAACCAGCTCTCTGTATCCATAAGTTCTGCATTCATGGACTCAAGTAAGCATACATAAAAATGTTTGAAGATAGATTTTATCTCTTCACTGAACATGGGCAAGGTTTTTCCCTGAATAATAGAATATTGCAATGATTTGTATACAATTTCAATTGTATTAGTAATCTAGGGATGATACAAGGCATACCTGAGGGTGTGTGTAGATTTACATGAGGAACTCAAGTATGCATGGATTTGGGTATCCATGGAGTCCTAGAACACTTGTGTGGCATATTGAGATTGAAAATTCAGGAAAATATGCTCCAGATGTTTAAAAATGGGGAGAAGTAATAGTCTCAGGAATTGTTCTGATTTATTTTTTCTTTCAGCTTGGTCAAAGCCACACCAGTTTTCACAGAAAATTTATTATATACTTTCCATGTCTCCAGAGGCTTCGGTTGATTTGTTGTTGTTGTTGTTATTCTATGACTTATTTCTTAACCATGAGGTTATTTAGTAGGTACTTTTCTACTCTCCTTGAGAGTAGAAAACATGAATGTGGCACTCAATGCAGTAGTATAGTGCCTTGAATAGCATGGAGTTTGAATGTTGAATTTTCTATGAAACAGCATCTCCCTGTAGCCCTGTAGCCTGTAGCTGGTCTGGAACTTTCTATGTAGGCTTGCATGGCCTGATCTCACAGAGATTTGCCTGCTTCTGCCTTCTAAGTGCTGGGACTAAAGGTGTGGGCCACCACGCCCAGTGGTTGTTGAATTCTTGAAAAAATAAGCTGTGCACAATGGAGCATACCTGTTCTGGACTTGTGTTAGCCTCATGAGTACCAGAATTATAGGTGTGGACCACCACGGCTGCTTTTGTTCTTACTATCAGAAACCATTCAAATACTAATTCAGACATTTCATTCTTTGATCAACTGATCTTTCCAAATTACTTTTTCAGATGTCTGGTCTACTTTTCTTAGAGCTGTAATACATAAATTTGTCTTGTCTTATCTCTTCATATCTGGTGTAGAATTCATTGTCCACTCCTGTAGATACCTCACTTCGTATTTTTCTCTCACCCAGCTGGTGCAGTCTTTATGCTGTATAGCCCCTGTTATATAGCTGAGTGGTATTGGAGGGTGAACCAATTTGGGAGATATTAATCCATCAGTTAACTGCTAGTAACTTGCCAGATACTAATCATTGACTGAAACTGAGCCCAACAGTCTTACTACTATGGTTTAGAAAGTATATTTTCCCAAATTAAAAAAATATGTATTTATTATGGGGGGGTATGTATACATGGGATGTGTGTGTGTGTGTGTGTGTGTGTGTGTGTGTGTGTGTGTTTTAGAGGACAAACTTGACTGTCTGTCCTTGCCTCCATGTTGTTTGAGGCAGGGTCTATCTTGCCCACTGGGTTGGCCAGACTAGATGGCCTGTAAGCTTCTGGGGGTTCTCCTGTCTCTGACTCTCATCTCCTCACAGGAGTGTTGTAAGTATATATGCTTGCTCCAAACACAGATCCTCATGTTCACACAAGTGCTTTGACCCATGGAGCCATCTCCCTAGCCCTATTTTCCTAAGTTTTGAATGAGCATTTATGTTTTATGTCCTTCACACCTTTGAAGTCCTCAGAATGTATCATACGCATCCTTAACAAATGAGCCTTCCTTCACATATCCTGGAAATAGTGTACTCCTTGGTTTCCTGCCTCCTCCTGTGTCTGTGTGTTACCCACCTTGTTTGAGCTCATGCTCTCCTTGCTCTCCTGTCATTTACTACACTAGGGAATGTGCTGCTTTTCTTGTCAAACACCAGTACTGCTGTTACCTGTGCTCTAGATTCCACCAGATTTCTCCACCTCCCTTCTTTCCAAGCCTTTTATCATTATTTATTTCTCTGTCTTGAGTTTCCAGTATCTTTATTCCTTATTATTTAGGTGTGATTTGGGCTTTCCAATCTGTAGGCTGTACTCTAATACTACTACTCAACAATTTATTTGTTTTCCGTAAAAACCAAAACTTAGTCTATATAGCACAATATATCTTTCATTTAATATGCTTTGATCATTCCTATTTAGTTTTTTAATTATTACATTTTATTTATTTGTGTGTATGTATGTGTGTGTATGCGTGCATGTGTGTGGAAGTCAGAGGATAGTTTGCAGGAGTTAGGTCTCTCCTTTTACCGTGTGGATTTCAGAGACTGAACTTAAGGTTTGTTAGGCTTGGCAGCAAGCATTTTTACCTACTGAGCTACCTCACTGGCTCTCCTGTTTAATTTTACCCTCATCTAATGCAGTGTCATTTCCTGTCTGGCTGCCTATATAATTTTTAACATAACTTTTTGAGATATATATAACATACATCAGAAAGTATATGTTCAAGATATTTAATTTGATAAGTTTTAACCTATGTATAGCCATGAAATTACCCGTCATCCAAAATAATAGACATATCCAAATGTGTTCTTATGCCCTTTTATAATCCTTTTATCCTGTCCAAAATAGGCACTTTAAGCACTCACCTGCTTTCTGTCACTATAGATTACTATTATTATTTTTACTTGTCTTGAACTTCATCTAAATGGAGCTATATAATATTTTTCTGGAACTGGAAAGTGGGAATTTGGGAGTCTGGCTTCTGTTTTTTAAATATTTTATTATTTTTATTTTATGGTATGCATGTATTGCCTGCATGAAGGTAAGTACACCTGTGTCATGCAGTGCTGTGGAGGTCAGAAGAGGCTGTCAGATCCCCTGGAACTGGAGTTATGGACAGTTGTTAGCTGCCATGTAGGTGCTGGGATTCGAACCAGCGTCTTCTGCAAGAACAGTCAGTGTTCTTAACCACCGAGCCATCTCTCCAGCCCCGAGTCTGGCTTCTTTTACTTAGCACAACTGTAGTTCAGATGCATCTCTCTTAAGACTCACCTCTGTTGGAAATTGATTTACATTGTCAATTTGATTGGATTGAGAACCACCTGGGAGATCAGTAACACATGTATCTATGTATATCTGTAAGGAGATATACATTTGGATATGTCTATGATTTTGGATGATGGGTAATTTCATGGCTATACATAGGTTAAGACTACCCTGAATGTGGATGACACCATTACATAGATGTCAGATTGACAAGGGGACAATTGTGCTAGATAGCTTCAGTTGTCACTTTGACACATCTGGGAAGAGGGAATCTGAATTGGAGAATTTCCTCTATCGGATTGGACTGTGACAGTCTGTGAGGCATTTTCTTGATTGTTGAGTGATGTGGGAGGGTCCATCATACTATAGGTGGTGCCTCCCTTGGGCAGGTGGTCCTGGGTTGTATAAGAAAATAGGCTGAGTGCAGGCCAGCAGGCAACATTCCTCCAGAATCCTGTCCAGAGTTTTTGTCTGACTGTCACTTGGAAGTGTAAGGTATAATAAACTCTTTCCTCCTCAAGTTGTTTTTGGTGAGAGTGTTTTATCACAGCAGTAGAAAGCTAACTAGGACAAGAATTAATGTGTGGCATCTTACTGCTCTCATAATTGATCTAATTATATGTAAACATTAGGCTTATGAGATGGCTCAGCCAGTGAAGCCACTTGATGCCAACCATGACAGCCTGAGTTCAAACCCTGGGACCCACTTGGTGAAAGGAGAGAACTAAGTCCCTCAAGTTGTCCTCTGATCTCTACATCTACCCCCCCACGTTAAAAATTTATATAAACAATTCAATTTAGAGAAAAAGTATAGCATACTCAATAAAGCATTATGGGAATTCAGATATGGGCTGAACTTGTATAGTAGAAATCTCAAAATAAAGTGCTAACATAGATACAGATGTGTTATTACCAGTTTTCTTTCAAGTATTTACAGTACAAGGATAGCACAGTGGCTCTGCTTATTTTCAGCATACTGATTCTGTCTTTGTACCAAAGATATCTTCTCAAGTTCTTAATGTCTTGTAACCAATGGAAATAGGAAAGGATACACACGATATTCTTAAGAGTAAAACCTGGAAAGTTGCCAACCTCATGTCTTACATCTCACTGTCTGTAATGTGGATACATGGTCATACACCAATTGTGGCAGTCACAGGACTAGGCACAGTGACTCTAGTTATTTTGAACACTGTACTGTTTCATTTCTGTTACTGTGAGAAAATACTCTGACAAAAATCAGCATAGAGGAGGAAAAGTGAATCTTAAGCTTACAATCCCAGGTTATAGTCCATAATTGCAGAGTCATAGCCACAGGAGCTTGCGATGACTGATCATGTCACATCCACATTCAAGAGCAGAGAGAAGAGTTGCACTCATCCTGCCTGTCTTGTTCAGCTAGCTTTGTTTGCTCTGACATAACTCACAGTCCAGTCTGTGAAATTGACAAGGCAGTCCCCCATAGGTCTGTCCACAGGTGTGCCTGTGGGTCAGCCTGCTCTAGATAGTTCCTCTTTAAGACTCCCCTCAGATGACTCTCAGTTGCAGTAAGTTGATATTTAAAACTAACCATCACGGTCAGTATTAGATTTTCTTTGAAATTCTCTTAAACGTGTGTGATTTGCCTTATTAGCTATTGAAGTAACCTGAAGCGAGATTTGTAATTTCTATCAGGCAAACTGGTTTGAAAAGGCAAGTGTGTATAAAGAAAGGCATAGAAAGCCGGGCATGGTGGCGCATGCCTTTAATCCTGGCACTCAATCGTAGGACTCCTAGGGGGCTCCTGAGTTCAAGGCCAGCCTGGTCTACATAGTGAGTTCCAGGCCAGCTGGGGCTACAGGGAGACCCTGTCTCAAAAAGACCAAAAAAAGAAGGCAGAGCGCAAGAACACATGTCCTTTGAGTTGGCAGCTGAGAAATGTCAACAGCTAGATCCTGACTGTACGCTGATGGATATCATCTAGTTGCAAGAGATCAGACACAGTTGCAACATGCATACCCATGAAAGAGAGTTTTAAAAAGTTATTAGGGCTGGAGAGATGGCTCAGCCATTAAGTGCACTGACTGTTTTTGCAGAGGAATTGGGTTTGATTCCCAGCACTCTCATGGTGGCTAACAACTGTCTGTAACTCCAGTTCCAGGGGATCTGATGCCACCCTCTTCTGACTTCCATGGGCACTGCATGACATAGCTTACATACATGTAAGCAATAAATTCATACACAGGCTGGCCTTGATTTCACAGAGACTGCTTGCCTCTGTCTCCCAAGTGCTGGGATGAAAGGTGTGTGCCACTACACTTGGCTCAAAAGAGGTTTTTAAAAAGGGGACTGCATTTTTTTCTGAAAAAAAAAACAAAAAACCCAAGTCCTTCCAGTGGCTTCCTAGCCTTCAAATGGTGCAGCCCTCCATGTCCAGGCTCAGCTCTGGCTGCTCTTCTCCTTGGAGTCTCTTCTGGCTGTTGTAGCCATGCCACTGATCTCTGAACCCAGCAGACATGGTCTTGCCTTGGTGTCTTGGTGGTTGTGACTCTTCCTTTCTAGCTGCAGTCTACAGAGCTCACTTCTGTCAGACCTGACTTTAAGTGGTGCCCTCTCAGTGAGGTGTTCATGGACTACTTTGTCCAGAGTTGTACTCCTTGTTCATCTACCCTGCTTTTTTCTCCAGATCGCTTTCCTGTATACTGTATACTTTTTGTATATACTTATTTAACTTGTCTATGAGAGGCAGATTTTTGTTTGTTTGTTTGTTTGTTTCAGACTGTGTCTTGCTCTGTAGCTCAGGGTTACCTGGAGCTCACTGTGTAGTTCAGGCTTGCTTTGAGCTTCAGTGAACCTTTTGCCTCAGCCTTCTAAGTTCTGGGATTACAGGCATGTGCTGTCACACCTGGTTTTAGGGGCATTGTTTATAGTATGTTGGAAGACAAGAACTGGCCATGTGTTCAAATGTTTGCATAATGAGTGAGAACAGAAAGAGAATTATATAGGTTGGAGGATCTGGTGGTGGAGTGTGTTCTTACTGGATTTCATAACTTACATAAGGAGGATGAGAAGGAGTAGGGTGGGCGAAAGGGATTTTCAGTTTAGAGAAGAGCAGAAAAAGTGAAGTAAATCTTGGAGAGCAGAAAATGAGCTTTGAAGGTGTGATGCAGGATTGCTGGATGGGTAAATGTACATTTCCACTTATGGTTTTCTGAAATAGAATGTGCTTCACAATTAGAATTTTAGCAGTTATAATGAAGCTGAAAGGGATTGTGACGTGTAAATGGTTAATGTTTTTGGAAAGTAAATTTTAAAATAAAAATCTTGATGAACATCATTGATTTTTATAGTTGATGCAGAAAATATCCTAATGTAAAATAACATTCTTTTTAGCCTTACCAATAATTCTCGGATTGTGGCACTCCTGGCTCAGTTAGAGAAGACCAATGCTGATGCTCCAGAATCAGATACTGCCAGATATGTTACATCAAAAATTCTTCATTTGACTCAAAGTCAAGGTGAGCTGTAATCCTTTCCTTGGTTTTGGAATACTTTTCATTTCTTTAAAAGTATATACTAAAATGTTCCAATTTTTGGTAACTAGATTATTTTCAATGTTACACCTTATTCAGACAGTTGAAATTTATAAATTTCCACAGTTCACCTGTTTTCTTTGGATGCATTACATTTTCTGATTTGATACATTTTGTGTGTTAATTTACCTTTTCCCCCTTAGAAACATTTGTATTATTATAGCCATTTCATTCACATTCTTCCTTGTTGACATACAGTTGATGATTTTTCTCTCAACATCCTTTCTTTATTCGTTTATTGCTTTTTTCCATCTGGGTACCTAAGAGTTTAATATGTGCTTGATTTTCTTCTCTTAAATGAAAACTTAGGTTGTTGATTTGAGGCCTTTTCTAGGCATTTAAAGTTACAAATTTCTTTCTAAACATTTAATTTCATTCTATAAATTTCAGCATGTTGCATTTTTTGTTTTAATTTACTTCACAATATATTCTAATTTCTTTGTGATTTTTCTCTTTGATCAATGGGTTATTTAGGAGAGTGTTTGCTTAATTTGTCCTGTATTACAGGATTCACCTAGTTTTTGTGTGTTGTTTTCTCTTTCTCTTTTTTCAAATATAGCTTTCATTTGCTTATTCTTTTTAATGTTTTTTTGTGTATGAGTGTTTATTTTTACTTTTATGTGTGAGTTTTTTGCCTGCATGTATGTAAGTATACCTATGTCATGCAGTGCCCACGGAGGCCAGAAGAGGGCATCAGATTCTCTGGAACTTGGGTTAAGGATGGTTGTTAGCTGCCATGTAGGTGCTAAAAATCTAACCTGGGTCCTCTGCAAGAGCAGCCAGTGCTCTTTACTGCTGAGCCATCTTTCCAGCCCTTATTCTTTTATGCTGTTATTGTATATTTTGTATCCACATATGTCAGAAACCTAATAATTCAGTATTATACTTACTACTTAGACATGTATGCCTAAAAAGAGTTTAGGAGAAAGAATTCTTTTATTTTTAGTGTGATGAAGAAGTAGAGAATTTTAGAATTCATTTTTGCACTAGTGTTTGGGTGGGACAGTTTGGAAAGGCATATGTGGACTCCCAGCTAGTTGGGGAGGGAACGGAGACTGTGAGAAGGCATTGCTGTGTCTGGCGAATTAGAAGTCTGACTGGAGGTGACAGAGATTTACATGATCGTTTATAAAGAAAAGAGGGCGAGGAATCTTGGGAGGTTATACTCTGAAATTGAGAGGTAGGTGCTAAAGTATGAGAGAGGTGGTCCTGAAAATGGTCACTGAAAAGGTTGATAAATTAGAGCATGAGAATGGGTTTTGTTGCCATTAGGCCAAGAAAATAAGGAAGTAGGTATTGGAATAAATTATCTAAACGAACAGCAAAGCAAGGTGATTGGAAAATCTGAAGTGGAGAACTTTCTGTAACAGCTCATTTTCATTTGGTGTTGAGATGACAATAGAGACTGATGAGGGACTTTAAGGCTGCCTTGTACTGTCTGTCTTATCCCTGCTTTGAAGGTGAAAATGTAGTGGTTTATTACTAATAGACTGCTACACCCCCCCTTTTTTTTTTTTTTTTTTTTTTGAGACAGGGTCTCCCTGTAGCTCCATCTGGCCTGGAACTCGCTATGTAGACCAGGCAACCTCAATCTCTCAGAAATCTTCTGCCTGCCTCTTTCTCTGCCTCCTGAATGCTGAGATTAAAGGTGTGTACCACCATGCCCAGCTTAGTTTTGCATCTTTTGAATATTACATATATTAATATTTAAAATGACTTGACTACACCACATCACTAGTTTTAAAATATAAAATATTTAAAATATAGCACCAAGGTTGTATTGGATCTTTGAAACAGTATTTTTTTTCTTTTATGATTTTATATTTTTTTCATGGGGGCAACTGGACTCAATAAAAGGTTAAAGATAGTTTGGATTTATATACTTAAAAAATAAATTAGTTTACTAACACAATAAGCCTGCAGGTAAGTTTACCATGCTCTTAAGCACTAGCAGTATGGTACCAGGCACAGAGGTAAGGGATGTTTTAGGTTAGGTCTTCATATCATTTTTGGTTCTTCTATTTTGAAAGGTTCCTTTAAGTTTTAACAAATTGCATTAACTACATGTGAGATGATGCTATCGCATAGGATTATTGTTTTAAAAATAAATGTGACAGGTAAACGTGAGCATTGTTGTTTGTAGACATTGATAACTCTTAATAAATAGTGTTATACTATTTTCTATGGATTTCACTTGTCCCTCTTTTTAATAATTCCTACTTTAATTTTCAAGTGAATCAGCCTTAGTAAGTTCAATAGAATCTGCTCTGGGCAATAATGTGCCATAAAAAGCACACCTTAATCCCTGTAGAAACCATTAAGAAAAGACATAAAATTGGAAAGTTTTAAAAAATCAACACGAAAGAGGGCCATATAGGGTGAGAAGATGAATGTAAAAGACATGAAAGATTTACAAAAACGTGTTATCTTTTCCCCACCTGCTTTTGTTGATATTTTCTTCTCATTGAGGCCTCTGTGCTCAGGCCTTTGCTCCTAAATCCCTTGACTATTTCTGTATGAAACATTGAATTTGGCCCTACCGTCCTTGAAGCTTTGTTGTGGAGTATTGAGAGTAGATGGTTTGTCAAACCTCAGAGTATGGAATTAATGGTATGATTCTCCTGCATTAAAGGAATGCTGGCAGTAATACTCATGTGTGAAAAAGTTGGGGAAGTGTTTGAAATCTCTTACGCAATAATTCTGTGAAAAGACTGAATCATGTTACTCTTTGAGAAATATGTTAAATTAGTAAAAGAGAGCATAGACTCTGGATTTTACAACACTAGAGTCACCTGGTCTGTTTCAAAGACCTCTCCCCATCCTCCTTTCAATTTAAATTCCTGTTCCATTTTATTTTTGCCCCAGAGGATTAAAGGGAAGCATTGAGAATTCTGTAGGTAAAGTACATGGAATAGGAAATGTTAGTCCTTTATTACAATCTGCTTTTTCTCTTTTGTACATCAAAGAATTGTGAAGAAGGTGGTAAAGAAACTTTTTTTTTTTTGGTCTTTTTGAGACAGGGTCTCCCTGTAGCTCCAGCTGTCCTGGAACTCACTATGTAGACCAGGCTGGCCTTGAACTCACAGAGATCCGCCTGCCTCTGCCTCCCAAGTGCTGGAATTAAAGGCATGTGCCACCAGGCTACCATGCCTGGCAGAAACTTTAGAATAATTTAATAGAAATACTTGCACACTTTTCCCCCATTCCAAGTGACAAGGAGGATCATTTAAGTGACATTGTCTTCAGATTCTTACAGTGGTTGTTCTTAGGTTTTCATTTTTGTATGATTTCGAATTTTGGTATAGTACAAAATACAATTAAAATGTTTAAAAAATAGTACGGGGTTTCTCTTCTCACTCATTTTGATTAGCTAGTTGTAGTCATGTAAAGAAACTCACCATTATAACTCCCACTTCAGTTATAGCTCACCACCAGCTGTAGTACCTGGTCTAACATTGATTTTTAAGATTTTGGAAGAATTGACAGGGACTTTCTTAGAAGCCTGTGATAGTTGAGGAAAATAAAGTCTTATAACCTGAAATTTGGAGTGAGCTCCACAGAGTAGAATTAATAGGATCAGAGAGGTGGATATCTAGTTCAAAATGCTTATTGGGCAAGAAGAGACTTGTCAAGTCTAAGTGAGCTATAGGTAACAAAATGTTATGTGTTCTTTTGGTTCATGCTTAACGAAATTCTTTTCTGCCTTTCAGAAAAAACACGGAGAGAAATGACAACCAAAGGTTCTACAGGAGTGGAAGTTCTGTTGTCAACATTAGAGGTAAAACATTAATAATAGCCTTTAGTTACATAAAAACTCATAGGAAGGGATAGTGAAGTAAACTTACACACATGTGTACATGTATGTGGCATAAACTTTCTTGGAGAAAACCAGTGAGTCAAAGGTGGTTTTAAGTTTTAAATAGTTATTTGAAATGGTATATTCTGATATATATTATGTAAGCATCTGTTTCCTTGTGAGTATAACTGAAATTTAGTCTTAAATTTAAAGACATTTATTTTGTATGTGTGTGCATGATGTGTCTTGGGAGGGGGCACACACCTACCACAGCATATGTGAGGAAGTCAGAGGACAACTTTATGAGGTTGGTTCTCTCCTTTTACCTTTATATGGGTTCCAAGGATTGAACTCAGGTCTCCATGCTTGTGCAGCCAACACCTTTACCCTGCAAAGCTATCTGGCTGGTGTGTGTATTGCCTGCGTGTAGGTAAGTGCACCCGTGTTGTGCAGTGCCCGCTGAGGTCAGAAGAGGCTCTCGGATCCCCTGGGACTGGAGTTATGGATAGTTGTTAGCTGCCATGTGGGTGCTGGGGTTAAAACTTGGGTCTTCTGCAAAAACTGTCAGTGTTCTTAACCGCTGAGCCATCTCTCCAGCCCGACTGATTTATTTTTATGTGCGTGAGTGTTACGCCTGCATGTGTGTAAGTGTACCTGTGTTGTGCAGTACTGGTGGGGGACAGAAGAGGGCATTGGATCCCTGGAACTGAAGTTATATAGACAGTTGTTAGCTGCCATGGAACCCAGGTGCTCTGCAAGAACAGTCAGTACTTTTAACTACTGAGCCATCTCTCCAGCCCTACATTTGTTTTTAATTTTTATTTTTTGTTGTTGTTAGATAGATAGGGACTTACCATGTAGTCCTGGCCGACCTGGAACTCTTAATGCAGACCAGGCTGGCCTCAAATTCAGAGATCTGTCTTCCTCTGCCTCCTGAGTTGTTAGGGCTAAAGTTGTGTTCCACCACTCCTGGCCCACCTAAAATTTAATCTTAAGACATTCTGATTGGTAATTGAAAATAAAATATTAGCTGCAAAAAACTCCTTAGTTTAACTACTTAAGCAAATAGATGATTATCATTTAAAATTTAATGATTTGTGTTAGATGATTTAATGGTTCATTTTACTCTGTTTATTGGTTTAGTAATTATATTGATGTTAATGGAATTTCTGTATGCAGATAAGTGTTTTCCATAGGTCAGCAGGATATGTTCAGAATCAAGAGTCTATATTTTTTTCAGAGCAATGGTAGGAATAAGGATTAAGTGCATTTCTTCCATAGGATGTCTTAACATCCTAAAGATCTCATTTTTCCTTAAATTGATCAGCCAGTTTGTTTATTTATTTATTTATTTATTATTTATTTATTTATGTATTTATGTATTTTATCTATTTATTTAAGCTGTCAGTCATCTTTACTGGAAAAATATATTTTTAGTATTTACTTTTGAAATTTCAGACATAGATGGTGGAGGGGGTGGCATATGTACTCGCATACCTGTCGTTTAGACTTTGAGATTGTTAATATTTTGCTCTATTTAATTCTTTTAGTTTTCTTGTAATCAAGTATTTTAGAGTGAATAACAAACTTTATAATCTCACACCTATTGATTCCATTATGCATCCCTGGAAAATAAAGACTGTTCCTGTGTAATCAAAACAGCATTTTATGCTATTTACTGCTAAAGAATTTTTCCATAATTTCATAATATTACCTACTACCTAGTCTGTATGCAATTTTCATAGTGATTCCCCCTAACATGTGTTTTACGATAGGCTCGTTTAAGCCAATGTCCAATTAGGCACCACACATTACCAATGACGAATGCATCTCAAGTCGCCTTCTGTTGAGGGTGGCCACCTGCCCCTTGTCTCTTGCTGAAGAATATAAATTGGTTGTTTCATGTAATAGATACACTGAGATTTGTCTGCTTTCTTGTGGTTTAATTTTTTCCAGTATCTCCTGTATTTTCTGTAAACTGAAGTTAAGTCTAAAGACCTAATTAGATTCTGAATAAACATTTCAGGCAAGATGCTGCCTAGGTGACTCTGTCTGAGTCTCAGTCACATGTTATCTGGTCATATTACTGTTAAGGATGTTGGCTAAAGGACCAAGTTGCAGGGGTGATTATCAGATCCCATCACTATAAGTTGTTATTCTGTCCCAGGTCTAGCCTGGGTCTGTGTGGTGTATTTAGACAATCCTGGTCTCAGTCTCCATTTCATTTTTAGCAACAGGACAGTGAAAACTGAGACATTGCAAAGCCAGCTGTGGGCTTGATAGTGTCCATTTATGGTAACAAGCAAGGTTGATTTGGGGTGGTTCTCAATTTAGAGAATTGCTGATTTTTGTGGATAATTAACATATGTCAATCACTGTCGCTTTTCATTTGGATTCTCAATGGTCCCCTCTTTGGTTAGGGGTAGCCCCTCCACTGTGCCCATTTGCCACAACCCCACTCACCTTTTTTTCTTTCTTTTTTTTAAATAAATAATTTTTTGAGAATTTCATACATGCATATAAGGTGTTTTGATCAATCCATGCCCATTCCCTCCCCTCCAACTCCTCCCATATCTCCCCATCACTTTTTTCTGATAGCTTCATGTATTCTTTCTTCTTCTTTGATTGATTTATTTATTGTTATGGGCCTTTTGGCTACTCTAATATTACTCCCTCTAAAGAGGTAGCCCTAAAAATCTTTTAAGGAGTAGATACAAACTCCCAAATACTTTTGACATTTTTTTGGCCCTTGGAACAGAGTATGTTGCTAAGAGGCCCAAGGACATTTTGATTTTTAGCCAAGAAATTGGTTACTTTTCTTTGGGGTCTTTTTATGCTGTCTAGCCAGTTCCTACCTCCTGTTCTTATCACACCATCCTCTGAAGAGGGTATCCAAATTACCAATAGGGAATAGAGACACAGACTACTCTGGCTTCTTCCATGCTGAACAGGGACTCAGGGTGAGGCAGTTGGAGTACCCCTTCAGTGAGTCTATCTAAAAGACTCCCAAATTGCATAACTCTTATCTATAGGGGGAAAGGAAAGTCCTTGAATCATGAATAGGAGATGTGAAGGAGAAGTAAAGGCAAGAATAATTAGCATTACAAGTTCTAGACAGGGAACTAGAAAATGCTACCAGCTCTTAATATGAAGCTCACCCTGTGACTAATGGCATAGAGGAACCTTTAGAAGAATCCTCTCATGAACCTGAACCAGAGCCAGAATCTGAAACAAAGACTGAAGAACTGAGGCTACAAGTGGAGGAGAAAAACTTAGAAGACTTAGAGGAGAAGTCTACTCCTCTTCCTCCTGCTGAACCTGATCCTTTTGCCTGAAGAACCACCAAAGCCAAGAGTGGAAGCTACACCAGAAGGTCAGTCTCAACCACCATGAGTTCGTGAACAACAACCTCACGAATGACCAACCTGGTTTCCCTCCTTGAGGACCAAGACCAGCCAGAGGAGATATGGAACAGAATGACTTAGATAACTATGGAGTAATTTGTCTCCCTGACAGTCTTCAACTTTTTGTTGGCAACTTGCCTCATGATATTGATGAAAATGAACTGAAGGCATTCTTTATGGCTTTTGGAAATGTTGTGGAACTTCGCATCAGTACCAAGGGTGTTGGGGGAAAGCTTCCAAATTTTGATTTTGTGGTTTTTGATGACTGAACCAGTTCAGAGAATCTTAATTGCAAAACCAATTATGTTTCTTGGAGAAGTACGTTTAAATGTGGAAGAGAAAAAAACAAGAGCTGCAAGAGAACGAGAGACCAGAGGTGGTGGTGATGATCGCAGGGATATTAGGCGTAATGACCCCGCTCTTGGTGGTCCACGTGGAATATTGAGTGGTGGAATGATGTGTGATCGTGAAGGAAGAGGACCTCCCCCAAGAGGTGGCATGGCACAGAAACTGGGCTCTGGAAGAGGAGCCGCGCAAATGGAAGGCCGCTTCACGGGACAGCGGCGCTGAAGCTCCACTATTGGCAAAGTCTTGGCAGTGGTGCATAACTCATCGTGTTTGCGTTCTTGTTAATTTTTTTGGCTTTGGAATGTGACACAGCCTTTTGGATCGTTTCTTTGATGTGAAAAGCATCTTTTGGTTATCGGTTAAATTGAGGTAGACATTTCCCTAATTTCACAACAGGATTCATATTGTTAATTTATAAATCTAGACTTGGAGAATTAAGGACTGAGAAATGACCATATCTTAAACTGTCTACAACAAAATGAACTTTAAAAGGACATGCCCACTGAATTCAGGTCCTTTGATTAAAAAAAAAAAATCCTCTGCTGCACATTTTAAGTGTTAACTGTTTCTGCTATTAATGTTGGAAACACAAATAGTGCAATTTGTGCAATTGGAGAATCTTGCCTGTTTTCTTGGCTTCCCCCCACCTCCAAAATACAGATCAACAAATTTGTTATGTAGTCATCAAAATATGCACTGTTGAGTACTCTGAACTCATTAACATTGACATCTGCAACAGGAGGCAACAGGGAAAAAAAAAATATTTCATCATCTTTTCCAGTAAACAATGGTTTGTGAAAAGATGAGGGCATTTTATCTGCTTGCTGTGACCAGCGTGTGCGCACATAAACCTTAACAAGACTGCAAATATATTCCAGAAGGAAGTCATTTAATTATGGATGAAATAACAAAAATCAGAACTTTAAATGCTATGGTCTTGAATATTAGACCAGATTCAATAGCTCCATATGTTAAGAGTTTTCAACCTGCCCCTCTTCAGCAAAGAGATGGCTGGCTGCTCAACACACTCCTCTTCCCCTTTTCTTTTCTTTAAGCTGTGTACAGTGAAAATTGACTTTCCTGTATTTTGTTTCCTGGTAATGTAATAAGCATGATGGTGCCTTCTATTAATACATCATTCCAGTCTTGCTGGCACTCTTGTACCATATAGTTTATGAATTGCTGTACTGCAAAGCCAAACAGCTGCAAAATGTTGAAAGAAATCATTGAAATATGGAAAAATTGCAGTATCTTTAAAAATCAGCACTATGGACACATATTTATCTTGTTCTTTAGTTAACAACTTTGTGTTCTTTATGGGAGGGAGTCTTGTGTGCTTAGAGGGAGAGGAAAGGAGGAAATCACTTACTTGAGTAAGTTGAGTTCCAATGTGAAAAGTAAAATATCACTTTAATGCTTGGAAAAGTCAAACAACTTGAAGTACATTTTAGTGACATTTTAAAAGCAAGCAGATCCAAAAATGTCTAGTAGACCTAAAAGGCGGATACTACAATTTTCAGAGTAGAGAACAGCAGCTCTTAAGTAGTCACATTTTCTCTTGGAGGGGCAGGGACCTGTCACTCATTTTGCACAATTCTTGAACTGATGTCAGCACCCAAATGGCTCCTGAATTTAAGTCTTTTTTATTTATTTTACATCTTTTTATTTTTACATGAATCTTTATAAACAATTCTGTGAGCAAAATTTGTAGCTGCTGGATTATTGTTTGTCTTTATAGCAAGTTCCAGTAAACCATAAGTATGACAAAGGTCATCCAGTTTTATGCTTGGAGCAATCAGCACATACCAGGTCCTGATGTTTCTGGCAGGAAGTGGACTAAACAAGTAACCACTTAAAGCTTCTTGTTAACATGGAAGACTTCTTCATTCTGTCTTAGTAAAAACAAAATATGCACTTGACACAGTAGCAAAATGCTTCTGAATTATGTAACTGTCAGGAGACTATTTTGTTTTTTGTCAACTGGGCAACATGGGTAAAGTTTATTGAATGAGGTCTTCCATGTTTGAGGAAATGTCTTGCACTATTGCATTTATTTTGTGGACACAGATTTTTGTAGTTTCCATTTTGGAAGGCATAAGAGCTTTTGTTTGTTTGGAACAGTTTTACACTTTCTGATATATAGTACTTGAAGTTCTTGCTAGAAATTATTTTGGGATTTTGAAGCTTTTATCTAAACTACTTTTAAATAAGTGGTTTTACTGTCAGTGGTTACACTTTCTCCTTCCTATTTTGTGTGTGTGTGTGTGTGTGTGTGTATGTGTAGATTTATAGACACATAAGCATACACACTGCATATATATTTCCAATTCAAGATATTGCCCTGTAACCCATGAAAACTGTTCTGGCAATGAAAGATCATGGCAAATGTTAAGTGTAATAGAAAAATGGAGCAAGAGCCATTCAGCTTCAGTCTCTTCATACCACAAGTGAAACATTTAAAGCATCAGATGGAGAAATTTACATGGTGATTGTTCACCTGCAGTACTGTGGACTTTTAACATTTTGTCCCCTTTTCAGTAAAAATATTCATCAACCATTACTGTTAATTGCTTGTTTTATTTTATTTTGGATGGTAATATTCTATCCTTATGACAGTATTGCAATCAAATTAGCTTTACCATCTTGGCTTTAGTAGGTATAGAAGACAGTGGTATCATCTTTATTGCTGTAATATGTTAAGCATTATATGCTAGTAGAATCTAGTTTAATTGTTTCAGGTGGAAAGTATTCTTTTGAGTTTCCATTTTGAATGTGTTTGGACTAAAACAAACATGTCTGCAAAAAAATAGTAAGTAAAATATGTTTTAAAAGTTTCTAAACTATATTAATAAGACAGTATTGAAAGCAGTCTTACTGTTTACCTGCAAAATTGAGCAAAAAACCCATTTTAATCATGTAATTTCTTTGATATAAAGAGCTTCTAGTAGGTAAGGAAAGTGTTTTTAATCTTTTGCATTTGTTGTTCAGGCACTGAGAAATAGCTCTCTTCTGTATTGCTGGTAGTGTCTGTCAAAATAGGATCCAAATAAATGTTCATCTTCTCTGACTTAAAATTCCAGTAATTTAGTTTCACATACAGAAACAAATTTTCAGTGTGTGTGTGTGTGCGTGCGTGTGTGTGTGTGTATGTGTGTATGAATGTGTGTGTGTGTATATGTGTGTATGAATGTGTGTGTGTATGTGTGTGTGTGTGTGTGTGTGTGTGTATTTATTTGTTGCAGTTTTTTTGTTTCATTTTGTTTTTGGTCTTTGAGACCAGGTCTTTCTGTAGCCCCAGCTGTTCTGGAACTCACTATGTAAACCAGGCTGGTCTGTATCTCATAGAGATCTGCCTCTGCCTCCCAAGTGCTGGGACTAAAAGTGTGTGCCACCATGCTTGGCTTTTGTTGTAATTACTAATAAGCAACAAAATATGAATCATCTCATGGATAAGTGACCAGTCATCTGGCAGATGAGATAACTGTATAATGAATTTATGCTTTATCTCTTAACAAGAATGAAGAAGCTTTTCATTTATTGATGTGGAGAATGCTAAGGTTTCATATAATATGTATGGAACAGTACCTTCTGGAGAAACATTTACATGCGTGTTTATGTGGACTTCTATGTATTTTATGTGTGAATATCATTTTTCGCAGGATAGACAGTAAACTCATGATTGTCTTCTGAGAGATGGGCTGTTTGTTTGTTGGGGGAGATAGCAATTTCATTATATTGTATAGGGTGGTCTTGAATTTAGGGGCTCAAGTGGTCATCCTGCCCTAACCTCCTGAGTAGCTGGAAGCATAGGAATGTGTCTCCGTGCCTGCTTAGTAGGCTTTGTGCATAGTAATTTGTTTAATTTTATGATCTGCTTGGTAGAAAGAGGAGGAATTCAAATGACAAGTCAATTCATCTTACAGTAATGTTGATGCTAAGAAAATTATAGCTCAAATGATTTGTAAACACTTTTTTTGTTTTTTGTTCTTTTTGAGACAGAGTCTCCCTGTAGCCCCAGCTATCCTGGAACTCACTATATAAGACCAGGCTGGTCTTGAACTCACAGAGATCCGCCTGCCTCTGCCTCCCAAGTGCTGGGATTAAAGGCGTGTGCCTCCATGCCCGGCTGTAAACACTTTTTAAAGACACAATGAAGATATTGGGGCAGCAAGATGGCTCAGTGGGCAAAGGCCCTTGCTGTCAAGCCTGGCTATCTGAGTTTAGTCTTGAGGACTCACATGGTGGAAGGAAAGAGCTGATCACCTGCTAGTTCTTCTCTGACCTCTGCGCCCCCTCTCCATACAAACAAATAAGTATAATGAAAAGATGAAGATACTGAAGTAATAAGAGAATAGTGGGAGTCAGTGTATTTGTGCCTAGACAATTGGAAAGGTCATTTGTTACATGTAGGCAGTTCCCAGCAGGTTCAGAAGTTTGGAACAGAACTTTTACAGTGTTTTAATAACGTATATCAATGATTTGTTTCAGAATACGAAAGATCTTCAAACTATACTTAATATCTTAAGCATTCTTATTGAGCTGGTGTCATCTGGTAAGCTTTTATTTAGTTTAATTTTTGTGTACTTTATCTAGAATTCTCTGGTACTAATGTAGAGGCTGAGTATTAAAATCTGGAAAATGAAATGCTCTTGTTATTTGTGTGTGTGTGTGTGTGTGTGTGTGTATGTATGTATGTATGTATGTATGTATGAAGTATGTGCACCTGATGCACGTGGATCCAGAGAAGTTGCTGGGTGCCCTCATGCCCTTTACTTACCACCTTATTCCTTTGAGGCAGGGTTTCCCTAAACCTGGAGCTTGAGTTTTTCTGTCTCTCACAGTGCTGGGGTTATAGGTGTGTGCAGGACCACACCCAGCTTGTTATGCTAAGATTTTCTCATTATAGTTGTGGAGCATGCTCTCTTAAGCAATGAGCTATTTCTTCAACTCAGTCTTTTGTTTTTGATATAGTGAAATGTTCCTCAGAGTACCCCTGCTAGTATACAGCACCTTGAACCTAGAATTATGTTAACAGTTGTGTTTGTTTTTTTGTATGCTACTTTTTAGCTAAATAAGTAAAAAGAATTATGGAACTGAATGTAATTCTAGCACTTTTGAGACTGTGAAGGACAATCACAAGTTTGCCAGTCTAGGCTACCTATGAGATTTTGCCACCAAAACAAAACAAAATGCGATTTTGACAAGATTTGCTTAGTTTTGGAAATCAACGTTAAAAATATGTCTTAAATGTTAACAAGTTGTGTGTGATACCTACTGTGGGTTGATTTACTGTTTACACAAAAAAAGTGTTTTTTTAGGTGGAGGTCGAAGAGCAAGTTTCTTAGTTGCCAAAGGTGGTTCACAAATATTGTTACAACTACTTACGAATGCCAGCAAAGAATCTTCCCCGTGTGAGGAATTAATGGTACAGACTCATTCCATTCTTGCAAAGATTGGACCAAAAGGTAAGAGCATTATTTGCTTGATTATTGAATCTAGAACCATCTTTGTAACTTTGAATCTCTCTGTCTTGAAATTGCTTAACTTTTGAGATCTAGAATTCTTTTTCTTGAGTTTAGTACTGGAATGCTTTTTACAATTAACTACTGACCAGCAAGAATTGAGGAATTCATAAGGAATTCTTTGGAATGTGGTAGAAAAGGAAGATATGTCAGTATGACAAGTGTGTCAGTGTGTTTGTATGTCTCCTTACATATGTGTATGTGTAGAGAGCGCACGCATATGTATCTTGTTGAAGCTAGAAGGAGCAGATGTGGACAGTAGTGTTGGGATTGGGAAGAAGAGCCTGCCGTTGCTTTGCACTAATAGTCGTGTTCATGCTACACAAAGCCCAGTGCTCAGGAATTGGTTTATGAAGACCATCACATTTGAAAATTGAGAAACTAGGCATTATAACAGAAAAATGTGCGAACTGCTAACAGATATGAGCAGGTAAGAATGGGGTGTATTGCCTGCATGTATGTGAGCGCACCCGTGTCGTGCAATGCTGCGGAGGTCAGAAGAGGGCTTCGGATTCCCCTGGAACTGGAGTTAAGGAGTTTGTAGCTGCCATGTGGGTGCTGGGAATCGAACACAGGCCCTCAGCAAGAGCAGTCGGTGCTCTTAACCACTGAGCCATCTCTCCAGCCCCACGACGCATATTTTTATTCTCTTAATATTTGTCCTACTTTCCATTTATTGTCATTCAAAGACATTGTACTGTAATTTCTTGAGAACTTTTTCTGTTTTTTTTCTTATGAAGTGAAAATAATTTTTCTTAGGAATATTTAATTCCTTTTTTTTTTTTTTTTTTTTGGCCTTTTTGAGACAGGGTCTACTTGTAGCCCCAGCTGGCCTGGAACTCTCTATGTAGACCAGGCTGGCCTTGAACTCACCGAGATTCTCCTGCCTCTGCCTCCCGAGTGCTGGGACTAAAGGCATGTACCACCATGTCTGGCTTAATTCCTTTTAGTTAAAATTTCTGTTGTTTATGACATTTCTATGGGTCCTGTTTCTTTTCAAGTCTTAATATTAAGATTTAAATAAGTCTTGTTGTTTTATTTAATCCCCCCCATTTTAATCTCTGTGAGAATAAAAATCAAGAATGTTTGTTTTCTCTAGCCACAAAATAATGATAAGGAGGTGGAAATGTCATTTTCTCTGAATTGTACATACTATATATGTATATTAAGATATCAGCTTGTATTCTAGAAATACATAGTTACTCTGCAAATGAAAACTAAAAAAAATTATATAAGGAGATGGAAATTTTAATTACCTTGATTTGATCATTACATGCTGTGTGCATGTACTGAGTTATCATGCTCTCCCATCTATTCTCTTAAAATTTTTTTAATATATTTGCCATTTTCTGCCTAAGCTATGCATTCGCATTTTTATTAATTTATATTTGTATAGGTTTGAAAATTATATAGTTCATATTAAATACTATTGGCAATGGAAATTTATATTTTCTCTTTAACTGTATTCCTGGGAGATGTGTTGAATTAGATAGTAGATAGTTTACAGTCTGGCTTTCATAATCCTGTAAGCGTTGGGCTACTCTAGCCCCATTCTCCTGCATTCTTCTGCTTGTTCCTTGATGATCGTATTGCATCGTAGACTAATTTCTAATAAAAATTATTCAAAATCTACAAAAATGATTATAATTTTGACCATTGCATGTCAACTTTACATTTGATATGAACACATAATTTAAATTTAAAATGTCATTGTGTATGTGTGGGGGGCTGGTATTGGAGCTTGATCTTGGGGCCTGGCACATACTTGGAAAGCCCACTAACACTGAGTTATACCCCTACCCTGTCATTGCTTTTCAACTATTTTTCATTCAAACAGTTTTATGTGAGAAAAAAATTATGTGAATAAAATGCATTTTCTTTTAAACAGATAAAAAATTTGGAGTGAAAGCTAGAATTAATGGGGCTCTGAATATAACTCTGAACTTGGTCAAGCAGCACTTGCAGAACCACCGCTTAGTTCTGCCTTGTCTTCAGCTTTTACGAGTGTATTCTACCAACTGTGAGTATTTCAGGGTGACTGTGATTTATGCAGTGTTGTAAAGTTACATACAATGAAGGTTTAAAACTACCTCGAGTCTAAAATTTGTAGAAAAGTAAAGAGAAGAGATGAATTAATGCGACTGATAACTCTTAGCTTCAGGTCTGATAGAGTGGTTGGAGTTAGAAGATGAGGTGACAAAATCTTGAGCATTCTCACTAGTTCTCTTAATCTGTTATGGACTGGAGTAAGAAGTGAGCCTGTGGGAAAGCCTTGGATAGAAGAATATGGGAGTATTGGCAGCTGGAAAGATGCCTCTGCCTCTGTGATAGATTTGTCAGCTTGACACAATCTAGAATCACCTGGCAAGAGAGTTTCTTTCTTTTTTCTTTTTTTCCTCTTCTTTGATTGATTTATTTTTATGGGGCTTTTGGCTACTTTTACATTCCCCCCTCTGAAGAGGTAACCCTAAAGTCTTTTAAGGATTAGATATAAGCTCCCAAATACTTTTGACATTTTTGGCCTTTGGAACAGAGTATATTGCTAAGAGGCCCAAGGACATTGTGAGTTTTAGCCAAGAAACTGGCTACATTTCTTTGAGGTCTCTTTCCCCTAACTGCCTAGTCAATTCCTACCTCCTATTCTTACCACACCATCCTCTGAAGAGTTTACCCAGATTGCCAGTAGGGAATCGGGATGCAGACCGCTCTGGCGTCGTCCATGCTGAACAGGGACACAGGGTGAGGCAATTGGAGTACCCCTTCAGTAGGTCTATCTAAAAGACTCCTAAATTGCACAACTCTTATCTCTAAGGGGAAAAGAAAGTTCTTGAATGGTGA